TAATAATAGCAACAACATTATTTGTTGGGACCCCGTCGTGTTGTTCGTGAAGGAAGGTAAAACGACAGCGCCAGGGCGATGTGTTGTTCTTTGAGGCACGCGCTCCTCGACCCTGTATGTGTGCATGCATGTGTGTTGGTGTGCGTGTGTTGTTTAACGGCCATGCTGGTTGCCGTTTGTCCAGCACGAGACCGAAATGTATAAAAATGGGCGGACGTGATAGTCATGGGAATGTGGACCCGGGTCTGAATACTGAATGTGCCGGCATGACGTGTCCGTTGATAACGCCGCCCCCCCCCCGCTTTCTTTCGCCGAAAAAGAAAACTACCACTGGGACAGTTTCGTATTGTGACTCTGCCAATAGGTCCATAATCAATTTTAGAGTTCATAGGGGCCCGACATACAAAAATATCATCAAGTCCTAATGAAATTCATCAATATTATTATATAGTGAATCTAGTAGGGGGCCTTGACAGTATTGGCGCGTCTCAATCGCAGTGAGAAGTTGTCTACACGGGCGCTTAATTGTGGCCGGAAGCCGGAAGTACTTCCGTCGCGTCACGTGACGTCGCGGCTACCGGCGGTCTCGTTGGGGAAGGTCGGGACGGTGGCGGGGCGCGGGGGCTCTTAATGGCCGCGCCTTTATGTGTGGCAATAACAATTAAATTTAAGGCCCATAAAATATAATCCGTCGTAAAAGAGTGATTTTCGAAGAGGAGTGTTGGCGGGCGGTGCGGTGGTGGCGGTGGAGCGATGCTTGCGCCCCAGCCGCCGCTGCTGCTGCTGCAACCGCCCCCACTCCTCTGTGCACGTGTGTGACTCTGTGTGTGTGTGCTCAACCAGACTGTCACCGCCATCAGCTGTTAGGCTGTAAACATGGTCAGCTGACATAGCCGGCTGAATCTGGTCTAATCTTCTGGCCGTGGCCGTAGGTGTGCACACTTTCAAGTTGCATTTCCTGCACACGACTTAATAATTTACTCTTCCTTTAACTTTGTATGTAGGTATTGTATTCAGTCGCCCTTTCAACTGCGCCTGTTTTTTGCCGACGAATCTTTCGGTCATTCATTTCGTGAGCACGTTTTTAACCAACTGTGAGCAAATCCGACTCTGAAACCAAACTCACTTTCCCTAAATAAAAGTGAGGCGCGGGCGTGCGTGTCGCGGCGCGCGCTTTACGGGCCGTAAACACACTTATCTAATAGTGCATGTAATCGTCTTTACGACTCGGACGCCCACAACGCCTTTTTGCCTCTCTGCCGAAAACGCAGCGGGGGCGCTACGCCGTGACCGCGAAAGGAGATGAGATGTGGAGTGGAGTCTGGAGTGCATCAGATACCTTCGTATTGCACGCGACGCGCAGGCGATACGTCAGCAATTAGCTTGTTGTTCTAGGCGCCGCCATGGTCGCTGCCTCGAGGGGTACTAACGGGACCAATAAAGTGACACCGTAAATCACTGCGCCCCCATACCCCCGCTCGCCGCTCTCTAACCCATCTATCTATCCAGCCACCTAGACGGAAACGGCCGCCTCCCAGCTTTTCGAAATAAGTTTTATGGAAATAATCGTCCGAGCCAAGTCGAGCCCG